GATGAAGGATTTCGAAAGTCTGACAGTAATCCGTTGAATACTACTGTAAGGTTAACCCTGCCTGGTTTACATGTTTGAAAATGATAAACAGTTGAAAACATTAGAAATTTAGAAAAGTAATCAAATGTAATCAGTTACATTACTTTAATAAAGTAATTGAAAAGTTACACTACTTATTACATTTTAAGTATGGTAACTTGTAATCTGTAACCTATTACATTTCCAAAGTAACCTTCCCAACACTGGAAATAAGTCATAAATGCAATGCAAGTTCAGTTGGATTCAGGGTGCAGGTGGCATTATTGTTTGGTTGAGGATCAGCTCTAGGGTTCAGTTTCTGTGACAGTCCAAAAATAAAGCTGAATTAAACTGAACATGCAGGAGTACCAGGAGTACATGAACACACTCTCCGGGACTCTGCTAGAAGCTCATTTTGGGGGCATCTCTGGATAATGAAGATAATGAATGGTTCATGTGGTTTAATCCTGGAGCAGCACAGAAACATTTCCAAATGAGTTTTTCAGGCAGTGAATCACAGAAGGTCAATGATAACAGCAATACGCTCACAGCTCCCAATCTAAATGCTAATGCAGCCACAGATTCAACTTGCTCTCGCTCTTTTGTGTGTTTTGCAGTGATTCTAGTTTAAAATACTTTTCTGAAGTTGGAGTGAAAATTGGAAAGCGTCAGCCTTGTGTTGTTGGTGTCCAGAGGGGTTTGGAGCATCATGTTATCTGATGAATGGATGAAAGAACAAGCAAAAGAAAGCATTTTCTCACCAAACACTCCAAAAGTCGAGCAGGTCGAGAGATGATGAAGAGGAGTTTCTTCACCAACTCAGTGACAAAGGTCAACTCTGAACTCTCTGACCGCTTATAAGCCTGAGAGACACAGACAGACAGAAACAAGCGAAACAATGTCATTATTTCTGCACATTACAGTAAAGAGACCGTCCTCGGCAGGTTTCATGAGATCTCAGGCTTGATGTGATGAACTCACATCGTCCAGAAGTTTCTCCAGGTTCTCCTGCAGCTCAAAGAAGTAGACGGACGTGATGAGACCCTCCTTAGATTTGGTCAGGCAGTCTCTGGACAGCTCGATGATCTGGTGGTGAATGAAGCTCAGGACTCCGTCGGCCAGCGGCAGAACGCTCTCGGGACAATACGAGTGGATGAAATCACACAACCTGCCCTCCATCTGCGCCGTGGCCTGACAGGAACAAATACAGAGACTACTTACGAAGATACACCTAAAGATATATATTCTAGAAATAATAAGAAGAATAATAATGAGTATTTTATAACTACTACTAATAATATTATTATAACTATTATTATTATTATAAAGCATTTTGTAATAAATAATCTACAATTATTATTATTAGCAGTAGTAGTAGTGTTTCTAGATTATTTCTAGGTAGTAATATAAGAAGAAGAAGAAGAAAATGAGCATTTTAGATATTGTAGAAATTTATGATAATAATTATAATAATATGTATTTAATATAAATAAATAATTATTCTAGAAGTTCTTATTAATTTTATTAAGTATTTCCTAATAAATAAATAAATCTACAATTATTATTATTATTTCTGGATTATTTATTTATTACAAAATGCTTATGAATTATAATAAGTATGTATTAAAATGTATTTTAATATTTTAAATATATACACATTTGATGTTCAGTATATAGTTGTGTAAAGCAAGATTATAAAAGATGTTTTCATTTTTTAGAAAAATTTTATTTTGATTTCTTATCTCTTCTCTGTTGATAACTCCAGCCGTCCTCGGTTAACCTGATGCCACTCTCACCATATAAATGTGTTTGTCTTACAGCAAACTGAGAGACAGACACCAGACACCAGTGAGAGCCTCTCTCTGTGTGTGTGTGTGTGTGTGTGTGTAACTTAACATTATCTAGGAATAATAAATGCAATATAAGTATTGTTCATGTTAACTAATACAGCAAACTAATGTTAACAAATGAAACCTCATTGTAAGTGTTGGCAAAGACAATTATAGAAATTATAATATTTAGAAATTGTATGAATTATTATATGAATTATATGAATATAATTCTAGCTTCTGTTCAGCATGTTTGTGTGCTCACAGAACACTGGTGAAGGTGGACAGGTGTGAGAAACAGGTAGACAGATGCTGTGGTGTGTGTGTGTGTGTGTGTGTGTGTGTTACCTTAGGGAAACGCTCCCTGTAAACATGATTCATCATAATGATCTCATTGTCGTAGCAGGAGTGAGAGCGACCCGGACTGAACACATGACAGAGAGAGAGAGAGTTATACACAACTACTGCAACTAACACATCTGTGTGTGTGTGTGTGTGTGTGTGTGAG